TTAAAATTTATTTCTTGGTTATTAAAATTTATATATGGAATATATCACCTATTTCATCTAAGTGGGTTTCTAGAGTGTCTTCCCACTTACAATTCCTCTTAGATTCATAAATTATTATCATAATTTAGATTCCATTTCACCTTTTTTTTCAACTTGCCTACGATTCTAATTTCTTTCTTTCTTTATTTATTTTATTTAATATTATTTATTTTTATATAACATTCATTTAATTACCTAAATTCAATTCTTATTATAAAATAGTTAGGAAATCGTGTACAAATCCATCCAATAACCTTTCGACACGTCAACAATTGGGTTTGTGACGTGGCGGTTCTTAAATTATTCCCTAAACTATTGGGGGGGCAAGATTTGTTCTTAAATTGGACCTCGTTTGAGGCTTCGAAAAGCCACTTGAATGTGACTATTGGAAAACGAAACCATAAATTTTAAAATATTTCTTCACTTTATCTTTTAATTATTTATTAACCAAATGGATCTAAACATTTCATCCCTATTTATTATTAATTAATTCTTTTAAATATACGTTAAATTCTAGTTCAGGTTTTCCTTTTCTTTTTCTAATAATTTTTTAATCTATATCGGTTTAGGTCTTATTTTATATATCTGAGTTAATCTCACGCTGTCACTTCATCCAGTTTATTAATATATTTAATTATCAAAGAAATTCAAAAAATTAAATTAAAAATCAAACGTTTCTATTTAGTCTACATCGTCCACACTATTTAGGGAATGATTATCTCCCACGTCTCTTAAATGTTATAACCTTTTAGCGTATTAACAGATCACGAACTAATAAATAATGAAAATAAAAAAATTAATTTTTAAATAATATAAAAGATTTACAAATCTGAAAAAGGAGAGATTTGAAGACATTTAGGAATCCTTGTAATTTTATTGCTTTTATTTTTTTAAATATTGATTAATGTCAGAGTAATATTTGTAAAGAAAATGAGAAATTGACAGCTGTATAATATGAATATTTAAGTAATTTGTAGTAGACTTGAATGAAGAGTTGGAAAAGTAAATTAATTTAAAAATTGACAAATAAAAACGTGACACGTCAGATAAATGTAATTGATATGCGAAATGCTCTAATACTGTAACGCTACTTTATATAAGTTGTTAATATGAATAATATAATATAGTTTACAGTTATATAATATGATGATGTGTAGGATGACATCATTGTTCTTTTTATTTTTATTTTTTTTTAATAAAAAATGTGCATAGTTAGGACATCAAAAAAATGGGCTTCTTTATATTTTCAATAATTTGAATTATATAATTATAAAATACAAAATAGGTGACTATTATTGTACCATTTTTTTTTAATCAATTGAAAAGCTACCAAATTTTTAATGAATAATATATATATTTTTAATAAAGTAACAACCATATTTTAAAATGCTATTATATAGTTGATTAAAAAGACGTACATGGGTTGGATTGAATTCGAGTTAGTCAAGTTGGTGACTCGAGCAACTTAAATAGAGTTCACAACTCAAGTTGGGTTGGGTTGTAAGACGGTTTTTTTTTTCTTAATTACTTAAGAAAATCCTACTTTTTGAATGCATGCTACGTTAATAATCAAAACTTCCTAAAATTCAAATATTAAGAAGTCTGGAATGTTCGTAATTTTCGTAATAAACTTAAAAAGTAGGTTAAGTTGAATTGGGTTATAACCCTATTTTCGAGTTGGTCTAGTTGACCCAACAAAATAAATGTCAACTCAGGAACTAATTCGAAATTTTTTAATTTTTTAAAAATTAAGTCGGACTCAAATTGAAATTTTTTTTGACCCAACCCAATGTTTATTTATGATTTAGATTAGATAGTCGGAATTATTTAAATTATTGAATCAATTAAACTATGGCATTCATTGTTGAATGAAGTGCGATTGATTATTACATTTGAAAATGAATTAAAATCTATTATTAATTATTTAATAGAGAATTTATCTTAATAACTTAGCTAATAATTCATGTTGCAACAAAATATTTATTAAAAAAAAAACAAAAAACAAGAAAGAATGTTCGTAGTGTACGGATAATTTTGATAATCTTTGTAAATTAATTATTATTATTTTTTTCATTTCTTTTCTATTAAAAATATAATTATTTTTGTATTAAAAAAAAAAAGGAACTCGGAGTTGTCAGCCTTTTTGGTTTCAAATACTCATAATCTAAAGTTATAAAGAATCACTTTGAATCCTTGGTTAAGATTTTGTTATGTATTCTAAATAGATATTACCAAAAGTGCTTTGTTTCCTTTATGAATTATTGACCTCGTGAATTAAGTTAAAATAGATTCAAATAATTCGAATTTATGGGTTAATGATAGAATTATGTAATATCTAGAAATTGAAGAGAAAAAAAATTGTGGTGGCTCTGATGCTGGCCGTCGCTTGTGGGAAAGAACGAGGTTAGTTTTGGGTTTATTTTTTCTTTTCTTTTGTGGTTGTATATCCGTTTAATTCACCAATAAATTTTGGGTTGTCACTCGCACCGTTGAGAATATGTAAATAACGTGGCAGATCTTTTGTTGAAGAGGTGAGTTTTGTTAGAGATGAGACAGAAGAAGTGGAATTGCACTCGCTCTCGTGAGGTAGGAGAAAAAGATGACCTATTTGGTTGATTCAATTCAACCCTCTAGTTTGACCCCAATTAGATTGGTCTAGTCCAATTTGACGGTTTCGATTTTCAAGTTAACTTTTAAGTTGGATAATAAATTTTTTTGAAAATTTTGAAGGGATAATTTGTGCGGTTTAATTAGAAAAGGAATTTGATTAAATAAAAGTGAAAAAGGACTGACTTTTGCAATGGATTATTATGGAAAGTTCCATTTTAATTACCAAATTTATTGGTCACTTTTATTATTTTTAATTTATTATTAAAAAAAAATGATATGAATTGGGAAATAAGTCATCCAACCAAAATATTATAATGATATCCAAAAAGCTAAATTTTCATGACATCTTCACTTTTTTAATTGTTTGACATCAATATAATATATAAATGGTGAATTGAAATTTCCATTAATTCATTAAAAAAAAAACTAATAAAATGCATTATATAAATAATAATAAAATTGAACTAATTTAATATTATATTTAAAATTTAACCTCCGTTAACACAATTTTAAGAATTTTCACTCACAAGATGCCAGGGAATAAGATACTTGAAAATATAGTATCTGAAAATAGAATGCGTGAGAATCAAATAATTTAAACACTATTTAAATTTCATATAAATAAATACAACTTATATTTGGAGTTTCGAGTACTTTTAACCATTAATTATATTATTTATTTTATTTTTATTTAGTGGAGTTATTAAAATAATTTTAATCAATTTAATTTCCATTCATCTATTTCAAATATTAGATTTTTTAGGGAAATATTTAATTATAAATATCTAGTAGAACTTATATTTTCAAATTCAAAATTAAAAAACCGGAGTAATTATTTAGAATTTTATATAATTATAATAAATTATTAATAAAACAATAAAAAATTTGTATAATATGTATACAAGAATGATTACAATCAATGTTTAATTAATTATAGTTCTTTTTCTATTACTTACCACTTTAATTTAAATCAATTAATTATGCTTTTATGATATATTAATCAACTAGACTAATCAAAATTAGTCTTTGTTATTTCATCTAATAAATTTATATTTATAAAAAGTTATTGTTGTCACCTAAGAATTAGACATCTAATTTAAAATCTCGAAAGAAATTTCATTTTTGCTCTCATTAAAGATTAGTATTTTATTATTAATTTTACCATTTATCCAATTATTTTAAAAAAATATAGAGATTAGAATCTTAAATTAATATTTATTTTTGTATTTAAAAGAAAATTGGTTGCGTTGGTGGGCAAGTATTCGGATTTGAGAGGGGAAGTATTGATTTCCATTTAAGGAAATTTGAGTTCCGCTGAGGTGAGCTAAATTCCAAGGAAAGTTGATGATGGAGAGAGGGATTGGGGAGAATTTGGGCATATATGTCATTTCAATCCTTTTCAACCCTTTTTTTTGCAATTTTCATTCCAATATTCCACTATTAAATTTGGGAAATTTCTCCTCTAACTTTGGGCATAACCAATTCATGCAGATGAGTTGTAACCTACCATTCGAGCTGAGAATGAGTTTTTTGGAGTTAGTTCACCTTCACGGGATCACAACCCTTTGTCCCGACCATTATAGCACGTCTGTCACGTAGAGCACAAGGGTCATGATGATTTAATGTCACTAGCAATCTATTTAGAGTTTCAACCTCATCGATTGACAACTAAAAACTTAACGTATTTATTAGATATAGGAATGGCTTATCTTTTTGGTAGTTTCTTACCTTTACTGATTTTTTTGCATATGATTTTTGTTTCACCAATGACTTCAATATTTTTATAACAAAGAATTAATTTTAATATATTTCCTTTCATAGACTTTATACATATTATTAACAATAGAAATGTAATTTTAAAGAATTTTGACATTTGTGGAATAGGAATTTTTCATGTGTAATTATCCCTTTTTATGAAATTGAATATATTCTTATATCTCATTCACTTGTTTTCCACCCAATAAAAAAAAATGTCACTATCCAATTAATTTGATAATACACTTCAAATTTTTTCATAACATTTCTAATAAAAGAATAATATTACAAAAATTCGTTACAATATTTAGGAATAAAATGGGTCATACAACAACTCTGTATAGAAAAGACCAAAAATCTACTTCTAAAAGAAGATACCTTCCGACATGTCGTTCTATCTGATTAATTTTCGGCTTTCCCTTTTACGCCACAGGAACTCATTAGTTGGGCCTGCCTGAGGCCCGAATGGGTATTCGTTCTCGTCAGGAAGCCCAGGAAGCCCATAATCACAAAGCAAATCACAAATAATAATAATAATAATAATAATCACAATAATAAAATTAAAAATCTGAAATTTAGGGAAAAAAAAAAAAAACTTACTCTTCTTAATGTCAAATATAATGTGAATTCACGTTTTACACCACACCCCCTCTAAATTCCTTATTTTTCACTTTTTTTTTTTTTTTTTTAATTTTCTAACCACACATTAATATTTTAAAAAATGATTTAAAAAAAAAAACTAAACAAACACTCATTTGATGGTATGCTTGATTTATTGTGCATGTAAAGTTCATTAGAATCAACAGAAACAAGCCACAGAAATGCTTCAAGACTATCTGTTCTGCACAGATGGATGCAGTGACGCCAACAGCTGAAGCTTAGTTTGAATGAATGCATATATACATATATACATACACATATACATATACATATATATACATGTCCATACCTTACCTGTCTCATTCTGCTCTACCCATCATCAGCCTTCTGCACGACCTTCAGAATTACCAACTGAAAAACTTGGAGAATCAAACCAAGCCAATTGTATGAAAAAGGAAGAATTTGATGAAGTGGGTGAGGTTCATTTTAGTCACGACCCCGAGAATTGTATGAAAAATGGAGAAGGGCAACGACGACGAGGGCAACGAACGGGGAAGAAAATGAAAATGAAGAAAACAAGGAAGAGCAAAGACTGATGATGAGTATGAAGGCGACGAAGCAGAGCAAAGAAACAAACCTGCATCACAAAAGTTCTTCCACTGCAGATTCTGAACCGGTAACAGAAGAGCATTATATATATTCACAACCTAAAAAAGTTAGCAGAATAATAGGACCCAAGAATAGTTTCACACTTAGCCAAATAACACTAATCATCACCCTACCACTACTGGATTCGCTTAGAAGATTTGGTTATTCCTAATCCTTGGCAGCCTCCAACAACACTTGATTAACTCCAACAGGACACAAAAAGGGACTTCCATTTATTATTAATAGGGCGGAAGGTTATAACTCAGAAGCCGAAGATTAAAATGAAGGTGATACTCGAGGAAAAAGAAATTACAACAAAAAAAGAATATATGTATAAAAAAAAACTTCAAAAGAATTAAAAGTGATAATATTGACAAAGGTGAAGTATAAAACGTAAGATGACTATTGCCCAGCAGCAGGTTCTTACTACATAAAACAACTAAAAAGTGGGGAGGAATGGAGAAAAGGAAAAAAAGAAGGAAAAAAAAGTGAAAAGAGACGAAAGGGGTTTGTGGGAAAAAGGTATCAAAGCCCAAATGAAGCTCTGAACATAAACTTTCCCAAAAGTACAGTACAGGATCATTCATCCACAAGTTCAGCAGCACCTCAAACGCAAATATGGATTCCCAAGCATCTAAAAAGATATAAGACAACGCAAACTAATAATCTGGCCTGTCAAATGAATACTCCCATCAAAACAGTGAAGTTGAAGATTCAAATAAGAAAAATGAAACAAGAAATCAAAGGAAGAAAGAAGGAAAAAGAAAGAAAGAAAAAAAAAAAAAAAAAAAAAAAAAAAAAAAAAACCCACAGTTCCCCAAATAGTTACAATCAGAAGAAGTATAGAAAAAGAATGATCATCAAAGGAAAGCATAAAAACAAGTTCAATAAATCGTGCTATAAAAAAATAATCCGAAAGAAATAATTGTAAAAGATGGCCAGTGACTAAGTCGGGCAGTAAAAAGAGCGAAGCAAGTTTGTTCAAAATTGAAAAGACAAGCAACATGTAACGGCATTGACTTAAGTATTTATGACCACAAGGAAATAAATAATAAGTAAATAAAATAAAATTAAAAAAATTGAAGAAGTGTTTTCTGGTAAATGGAAGTCAAAAGGAGCGCAAATCTTCAACCTGATATAACTTTCAAATTATCTAAAGACAGGCAAATTCTGTTGGAAAATAAATGAAAAACATGTCATAAATCAAACTAGGACAGAAGAAAGCTAAGAACAAAAGTGACCCAAGGAAGAATTTTCTTTTGGGTTTGGGTTTGGGAATGGGTGGGGGGCGTAGTTAGAGTAGAGCTGTCTTCAAGTTTGGGGATAGCAGTTGTGAGTTGAATATCCAAGTGATTTTAGATAGCTAAAATGGAATTATAATTACTTTTCAGAAAAAGTAACCGAACACGAGTGTCTGATATATATATATATATATGAAACTGGCTTTCGTTAATAAATGGGAAGGAACAAGTAGAGGCCGTACATCCCCAATAATAATAATAATAATAATAATAATAAAGGAAAGAAAAGGAAAACGGAAAAGGCGAACAAGGCCAACCAACAAAAAAGGGGACCATCAAAACGATTTAGAAAAAAGCTCTCCAACTGTTGATAGTAAAAATAAAAAATAAAAAATAAAAAAGGAAGAAAATGACTGCAAAACTTAATAGAAGATATACAAGGGAGAAGCACTAATGTGAGTCCCTTTTGAACCTCTTACCAATAACTCCTCTTCCTATCTTGAATTTCCTTTTGTTCCTCCCAATAATCATCTCCTCCTAAGGACCACTGATAAAACATCCCTAATTCAAACACCAGTCCAAGTTAAGATTGGTGCCAAACTGCAAATCATTTTGTAATTACCTGCTTTCCATGATTCTTCAGGGTTGGAAGGCTTTTATGTGATTATCATTTGGGAGGGGCTCTCTCTTCCTCTTCCCTTTACGTTATTTTGAGGTTTTGTTCTTCTTAATACATCCATAGGTTTCTCATTACCGGGGAAAAAAGTCCATAAGGAGAGCTACTTGATCCTATCTCAAAACACCGAACAGACCCAGCTTAAAGACCCATTAGATTGATACCGAGATAGTGAACGAAACCTAAAAAAGCACACCAACAAGCAGAGAAGTAACTGTCAATCACCAATTTACGATATCAATGGACACCGTGTGGATACTCTCCAGTGCCATGTCCAGATTCACCACAGCTATAGCAGTTTCAAGTTCAGCCATTCCCGTCGCCGCCATACCTACCTCCACCACCTTGGGATCCACTTTGGCAGTTGTCCCTGACTATGTGCCATTGCCATCTGTCACTGCACTTAACAAGCACACCTTCCCACTCATTCTTGATCCTTAACCACCCAACAACAGAAAAACCAAAAGACCTATCTCTAGCTCCACTCTCTCAGTTAGATGTAGGACATTAGGGGACTACAATGGTATTATCTTCAATTTTATTTCAATAGCTGCTTAGTTTTATGCTCGGTAGTCCATTTAGCTAATATTTTGATCACACTTCGGTTTTCCATAAGTCAATTTCAACATCACTTTTCTTAAATTGATAGACCTGTTAAGCATAAAATTTTACCATAACTGGAGTCACATCTATCTGCACCCCATAAACGTTAGACCTCCTAAAACGTCTTGCATCACGACAGCATCAAGCTATCCTCCTCTAGTTCACTAGATACAATTCATAAACCTCCTTCCTTACCGAACTCATTTCAAAGAAGTCTCTACAATTCCGTTTCAACTACTTTACTTTGATAGCTCCACTGCCATCCTAAATATAGATAGATAATATGTGGGGAGTATTAAATAAAGCTGCCTAGGCTAGAGGTATGACCTTGAGAAGGGCATCTTTAACCATTTTAAAGTTTGATAACCACCTTATGAATAAGAGGATTACAATACTATAAATTCTTAGAATTACCACCTAATGGTAGCCTTAGGTACTTTATATACTAAATTACCTAAATCAAAATTGTACACGCAGGCTGTTGCTAAGCACTGAATGAAAAGTTGAAACATACAAATGATAGGAGGCTTAAAGTGCAGTAAATAAAAAGAATATGAAACATCTCATACCACAAATGTGACGTGTATCCACCGTAAGATCCACCAGCAGCCGTCTGACCCGATTCAGAACCCGTCTTACCAAGCATTGAGCTTGAGTAAATGTGCGGCAACCCCTTCAGTGATGACGAACCAGGGCCATAAGAGCCTAGCAATGACGAACCACCAGCACTTAATTGGCTTAAGCCATACGACCCCCCACTGTAACCACTCAAACCTATGCCAGCCCCAACAGAACTACCAATCAGACCCACTTGACTCATGGGAACTACTCCTTGGTTCAACATGCCACCTCCCAAAGCTGGGTTCCCATATCCACCATACATAGGATTAAGGCTCGGATGTTGAGCAAACAAATGCAAATTTGGAGCTGCGGCCATGGCCGCCATAACCGACGGCTGGCTTTGCCCCAAGCTCTTCGCTGCCTGTGTCGAATTTTGATTCTTGTTCTTCCCCTCAGACGCCCTCTGACAGTGCAATTTGTTCCCTTCGAACACTTTGTGTGGCTCCTCAAGAGCCTTCCTCGCACCTTCATTCGTTCTATAAATAAAAATGGCATAACCCCTCGATCTCCCTGTCTCAGGATCAAACCCTATCGGACCCATCTCTAACTCTCCAAACTTCGCAAAGAACGCCCTAAGCCTCTCAGCATCCACGTTTTGGTGCACATTAGCGACATAAATCTTCCGCGAGCCAATCTCATGGCTTTGCGGGGGCGGCACTGAACCCAAAGAAGCCAATTGACACGAAGTCATCCGATTATTAATCCTCTTCCTAGGTTCCTTCAACGCCTTATACGCACCCTGCCGGGATTTAAACAAAATAAACCCGTATCCCTTAGCCTTCCCTGTATTTTTGTCCATAACCACATTGCAATCTTCAATTTCACCAAAAGATTCAAAAACTGTCATTAGGGTTTCTCGGGTCGTATCCCAACTGAGGCCATGAACAAAGATTTTGCGGTTAGTGACATCGCGGTCGGCAGCCGCTCGAATTTGGGCTTCAAGATTGGGGTCTTTAACAGCAGTGCTGCAAATGAGCTCGATTAGTTGTGTCTTGGAGAAAGGCTGGAGGAGTTTGGAAAGATCGTCCAAATCGGAGTCGGAATCGTCGTCGTGTGGTTGAGGCGGAACGGGATCATCTTTCTCCTTCTTTGGTTTCTTGTCTACCTTGTTTTCAGATTTCTTCGCCAGCTTTCTTTTGGTGGTTTTATTGGTTCCCTCCATTGGAGAGCTTTTCAGTCGGCTTCCGAAGAACAGAGAACGAACAGTTCGATACGAATCAACAAGCTTCGCGGGCTGGTTCGACTCTGAAGGAAATTGGAATATGAATATAAATATTTCTAATAAATTAAATCAGATAATAGACAATATATATTTCTTTTTTCTTTACATTAATTTATTGGATTTTTTCTTCTTCTTTGAAGAATTAATTTATGTAAATTACAAAAAAAAAAAAAAAAAAAAAAATCTAACAAATTCAAAGATTTTAATTTTATATTTAATAGATATAAGCTTTTTTACTTTTTAACATTAAAAATTAACTTATAACTTTGTTAAATCCATTTTAACTTATTTAATATTTTTAAAATTTACAAATTTATTTTTTATTATATTTCGAAACTATCGGTGTAATCCATATCAGTTAGAGGGGGGAATAAAACATTATTTAAAACATCTATCTAATAGACGCATTTTGAAATCGTGAGGCTGACGGCTGTGTAACGGGTGAAAACGGACAATATTTGTTAGTGGTAGACTTGGGTTGAGACGGTTACAAGTAGTATCAGGGTTGAGACGGTTACAAATAGTATCAGGGTTGGGACTCTTACAAATGGTATTAGAGTTAGACACCGAGCAGTGTGCTAGCAAGGACATTAGGCCTCCAAAAGAGTAGATTATGAGATCGCGTATTAGTCCACATAAGTTGGAGAGGCTGAAGGCGCCTCCAAGGGAGTGGATTGTGAGATCTCACGTCGGTCCACATCAACTGTAGAGAAGAACGAGTATTTCTTATAAGGAAACAGTGAGGCTGAGTGTCACAATCGCACTTTTAATGACAGCGGACTTGCGATTGTGCGGCACTCACTTTCCAACGACAAGTAAGCTAAGCCAATTCGTTCTTGCGTTGCCTATGGCCAAGCGACGTATGCTCGAGCCTCTAGCCTCGATTTTAAGAGAAGGTTTTAGAAAGCGAGGACAGAGAGAGATTTTTGAAAGAGACGTTATATAAGCAAGCAAAAGAGAAATAACAACGGCTTACAGTATATAACCTTGGGTAGGGAGAAGTTGACAACTAGTCGTATCCCCTTATAGTACATTTTGAGGCATTTCATGTCTGACAGGCCTAGACATGATATTTCTGAAATGTCATACTTTTTATAAATATAAAAGTAAAACACTAGAATATGAAAAGACGTAAATGGTTGGATTTGTCATGGGCATGCGGCCATAGGCAACACGCCTTGGATGAGCATGACCGTAAAGACATAAAGGGTTGGGCTTGTCATGGGCATGCGACCATGGGCAACACGCCTTGGACGACCATGACCGTGACACGGAAGAGGGGTTAAAGAAAGTCATTTTATATAATTTAAACCCAAACAAGGAACAAAAAAGTGTACGGATCACCCGTGAATTTACTTTGGATAAGATCCATTTGTTTTGTTGTGCAATTTGGAATCCTAAAACCAATCATTCTGAAGCTCAACACTCCTTTCTCTTTCTCTTATCTTTCTATTCTTTCTCACCCAAACAGCCATGAAAATCCACTTCTTCATCCTTCTTCTACTGTCTCTCAATGCTACAATTTTCTCATCCCGACCACCTAACGACTTCTCCGGTGTCGTCTTCGACACCGGAGGCCTCAGCCGAGCTGCATTTCCCGAAGGCTTTGTCTTTGGAACTGCAACTTCTGCCTATCAAGTAGAAGGAATGGCTGACAAAGATGGCCGAGGCCCAAGCATTTGGGATTCCTTTGTTAAACTTCCTGGTACGGTTGATCTTAGTTTTCATTTAGTCCTTATCGACAAATTTACTTCATGTTCTTTTTAAATTTTGAGATGTACGAACAGGAAAGATCGCTCGCAATGCTACGGGCGATGTTGCTGTCGATCAATATCACCGATATAAGGTATGCATATGAGTCTTGCATTTGTAACTAATTTTTTTCGTCGTATGCTCGAGCATGACTCAACAAATTAAAATATGCGCTTTTGTTTAATAAAATATTTATATATATTAATTAAATTGTCTTTAATTTGATTTATTGCCTGCGATTAGGAAGACATCGATAATATGAAAAAGTTGAACTTCGATGCGTATCGATTCTCAATTTCTTGGTCGAGGATATTTCCAAGTAATAATATTTTCTTTTACATTCATTTTTCAAAGCGTAAACATCATTAGCAACGACTTAGAATCATCCATACTTAAAAAAAATTTATGTTTTTTTTTTCCGCTAGATGGATCGGGAGAAGTAAATTGGAAAGGAGTTGCGTACTATAATAGATTGATTGACTACATGATTCAACGAGGTATAATCAATCCACAACAACTCCTTTAATTCGTCATCGGGTTTATTTCATAAATCGATCAAATTTTACTATTACGGTCGTTCGATAACCATTTTGTTTCTTTTGTCCCTTTTAATTTAAAACTGGTAGGAATCACGCCCTACGCAAATCTTTACCACTATGATCTTCCTTTGGCACTTCAAGAGAGATACGGAGGTTTACTAGACAAGCAAATTGTGTAAGCTTTTAGTTTAAAGGGTTCGTATCGATAGAGATATTTTCGTACGACAGGGTTATAATCGCAATCTTTAATAATATGCAGGATCGATTTTGCAAATTATGCGGAATTTTGTTTCGAAGCATTTGGAGACAGAGTAAAGAATTGGATGACGTTTAACGAACCAAGGGTTATAGCTGATGTTGGTTTCAACAGTGGTATAATGCCCCCTTCAAGGTGTTCAAAAGAATATGGAAACTGTACAACAGGAAACTCAGGAACTGAACCTTACATCGTGGCTCACAATATCATTCTTTCCCATGCTACTGTAGTTGACAGATACAGAAAGAAATTTCAAGTAAGTCCTGAAACACATCGTTTCAATCCCGAAACATGTCGTTAATGAACTTCTTATAATTGTTTTAGGAGAAACAAGGAGGACGAGTTGGGATTTTACTGGATTTTACGTATTACGAACCTCTCACAAAAGGAAAAGAAGACAAGGATGCAGCTCAAAGAGCGAGAGATTTTCACATTGGATGGTATTGATTGGATGGTATTGGATGGTAAAATATGTAATTATGAAATGAAAAATTTAAATTGAATGTTTGTTTTTGGTTGTAATTTTGGTTTAGGTTCTTGCATCCTTTTACATATGGTGAATATCCAAGAACAATGCAAGAAATTGTGAAGGAAAGGCTACCAAAATTCAGCTATGAAGAGGTTGAATTGGTGAAAGGGTCGGTGGATTTTGTGGGTATCAATCAATACACCACGTTCTATATGTTCAACCCTACTTGGCCCAAACCAACCACTCATGGGTATCAATCTGATTGGAATGTTGGCTATGCTTGTGAGTCCATTTACTATCTCTTAATTATTTCTCCTATTCAAGATTCATAGCCTTTGTTTAATATATACATGTTTTCTTCTACAGATGAAAAGAATGGAAAACCTATTGGTCCAAGGGTAATCTCTTTTTAATCTCGAACTTTTAAATTGTTTCGGTGTAAGGAGTGTTTGAGCTTTGAAGTCCGATCTTGTGTAGTTCTTGCCTTTAATACTCGATTGGAGAAAAAGAGTTGTGTAACAGCCCAAGCCCACCGTTAACAGATATTGTTCTCTTTGAGCTTTCCCTTTCGAGCTTCCCCTCAAGGTTTTAAAACGTGTCTGTTAGGAAAAGGTTTCCAACCCTTATAAAGGGTGTTTCGTTATCCTCCCCAACCAAGGTGGGATATCATAATCTACTCCATTTAGGACCCAGCGTCCTCACTAGAAAGTGGCCATTATGATATCCTACATTGGTTGGGGAGGAGAACAAAACACCCTTTCAAGGGTGTGGAAACCTTTCTCTAGCAGACGTGTTTTAAAACCTTGAGGGGAACCCCGAAAGAAAAAGCCAAAGAAAACAATATCTGTTAGCGGTGGACTTAGGTCGTTACAAGTTGTGTCCTAGACACGTTTTGTAACGTGTCGAGACGTATGTGTGTTCGTACTTTCTTGACCTAAATAGAAGTTTACTCTAAATTTGGTTGTCAGGCTCATACTGGTTGGTTGTACGAGGTACCGTGGGGAATGTACAAAGCTTTGATGTATGTGAAGCAACACTATGGGAACCCAAACGTTATTGTTTCAGAAAATGGTAGAGCACTCATACTCAACTAGTTGACATGTTTAACTCGAACAACTTCAAAAGAAGTATATATCAATTATCGTTGAGCTATGTTCATATTGACATGTTTTAACGACAGGTATGGATACTTCTGATATCCCACTCCCGAAAGGATTAAACGATACAGAGAGAATACATTACTACAAGACATACTTGCAGAACATGAAGAAAGCTATAGATAATGGAGCTAATGTGACTGGCTACTTCGCTTGGTCGTTGCTCGATAACTTTGAATGGCTGTCGGGATATACTTCAAGATTTGGTATCATATATGTAGATTACAAAGACAACCTCAAGAGAATTCCTAAGATGTCGGCCTATTGGTTCAAACAAATGATTCAAAAGAAGAAACGAGCTTAGTGTGTTATATAGTTTGAATTGATAAGTATTTTCTCGTCTAAAGGGAATAAATACTTCGTAGTTCAACGGTGGTATGGTTCGAGATTGAACCATTGAGTTCTAAAATGATGTAATTTTTACTTTATGCACTAAGTTATGCTCGTATCCGTCTACTTTTGAAAATCTCGAAATGTCAATCCCTCCATACTATCCTCTATTTGTTAGGATACATATGACTCCGTAAAGACATAAATATAACTTAAGACATACTACCAGATGGGCTATCGTTACAATCACGAATAGTAATTTAATACAACCAAACTTTTATAATAATCACTAATTGATCAACATTATCATAACTTCAACTAGCTTAAGACATACTACCCGATTAAGAAATTAGAAGTTCTACGTCCCACATATCGAGTTGAACTCAAAACTTTAATTCACTCATTGGGTTTGAGTTTGTTTCACTTTTGAATCCCCGGTTGAACCGCACAACTCATCCCATAACTGGCATATACTCTTCGGACCTCCCCCCAATGTTTTTACAACATGTCATCATTAGTATGGTGTCTGACTTTGAT